ACTCGAGTTGCAACCAGAGTCACGGAACAGATTAAGTTCGTAACTAGAGGTACCACTCTATATACCATTACACAAAATTTCTATACAAACACTACGGTTAACTTATTCCTTGGGCAAAATTCTGGAGATAAAAAATTGGAGCTGTTTCGTATTTTATGACTATGATTTAAAACTGAATTTTAGTTTGTAACCAAAGCCTGTGACAAGACATTTCATATGATGGGATAGATCTGTCATAGATTTTAGTGTCGCCTTTGAGTTGATATGGTTTCTCTCTTTCACTTACACATATGTACCTGTTTTAATATGTATTTGGTTATAATTAGGTAGGTACTGCCAGATACATGGCTCCTGAAGTTTTAGAATCCAGAGTGAACCTTGAAGATCTGGAGTCCTTTAAACAAATGGATGTCTATTCTATGGCTCTGGTTTTATGGGAGATAGCCTCCAGGTGTGATGCTATAGGAGGTAAGGCAACCAACGTTTCTAAATCTTCTTTTTCTCGACCATAGGGGAGGGTTGAATCATCTCTCACTCTCAAATTATTATTGGAATACTGTTCCTATCATAGACAGTATAAATCTGACTATTCCAACAAGCTACTAGCCAGACAGCATGAGAAAATGCATTACCAAAATGGAAGAAGTTCCAGGCCCAGTAGAGAAGACACCTAGTCTCTGAATTTAAAAGTCACCTGTATCAAGGCACATCAAACAACACTAGAGCATGACTGGGTGATCTGGCTCATTGAAATGTAGCTTTATGTGATTCCTATGGGATTGCATCACTTACCCACTATGAAATCATTGTTATAATTAAATTATATTAAAATTGCTCTTCACTTTAGCTGAAGCTCAACACCAGGGAGTATGAAGACTCTTGGAGAAAACAGTTAAGAGGATCACAGGATACTAAATGATATACTGTATTATTTCAATGATAATCTCAACAAAAGTCAATAAATGAAAAATAGGTTTGTAGGAACAATAACACTCTCCTACTAATTTCCAAACTGTTTTTGATTGGGAATATTTTAATCAGATGTGGGTCCAGAAATTAATGCTGTGTGTGTGTGTGTGTGTGTGTGTATTCCAACTTTTTCTATATATATATTTGAAAAAGTTGGACAATTATGAGCTCCCTTTTGACACTGCAGGCTGAATACAAAGGAGAAGCAGTAGCCAAATACATCTTCAGTGACGTGACATATGCGGGGTGACCATTTTCTGAGAAGTACCATCCTATTGACTCCACCACATCTTTCTGATGCAGCTGATTTGGTCCATGACTGATTTTATCCTGTTTTTACAATCAGTTTCCATGAACAGTAGTTTTATTTATGTCTTTTCTTTATTTATTTACAATTTTTGTATACTGCTCCAATCTTAGTAGACTCTAAGTGGTACACAGCAAAACCAGGAAAATACAACAGACCATAAGCAAAATAACTTAGAGGGTACCCACAATCATACTTAAGACCACAGGCTGGTTGACATAAAATTATCTTCAGGGCCTTCCAAAAAAGAGTACCTTTCAGGCCAGATGCTGAAAGGATGTCTCAAAGTGTGGTGGCTATCACTGAGAATGCCTGACAACCAGCTCACAGTCCCTTTGCCTCATGTGGGGATGGGACTCTCCAAAGACTCTTTCTAGATGTTTGGCCAGATGGGTAGGATCATATTTCATAAGGCAGTCCCTCATGTATCCTGAAGCCGCATTATGTAGAGCTTAATAGGTAATGTCCATCCCTTTTAATTGTGCACAAAAGCATGCCAACAGTCACCGTGGTGAACTCAAGATGGGATAGTCTATAGCAGGTTTCCCCAGCTGGCACTCTGGCTGTATTCTGGGCCAGCTGCAGCTTGCAAATAATCTTCAAAGGCTGCTCCACATAGAATATGTTGGTGTTATCCAGTGTGAGTTACTGATGCAAGGGCTTCCTGGTCCAGACAGAGACATAGCCAGTGCTGGTAGTCGGTAGCTGGTAGTCACCTTTAAAGCCCTTCATGGCTTGGGACCAGGTTACTTACAGTCTCCCTGGTTGTTTCTGTCTGCCCTATCCAACCTGGCAGGATGTAAATGCTCCGGGTCCCATCAGCTAAGGAATTCTGCCGGGGCCCAGAAGATGAGTCTTTTCTGCCATAATGCCCATCCTCTGGAATATTCTCCCTCCAGAGATCAGGTTGACCCCAACCCTGCTGGCCTTTCGTAAGGCTCTGAAGCCCCCAAGTGTGTGAAGGGGCCTGTCTTTTGGCTAATGTTTGGTGTGATTTTTTTTGGTATTTTAATGTTTGCATGCGTTTCTGTTTTTTACTTTTTAATACTGCTTGCCAGCCAGAGTCACTGGCTGAGATGGGCGGCTATATAAACTGATTAAATAAAAAATAAATACATCTGGGCAAAGAACCCCTGATCATGGCTTCACCTGGTCTTCCAGGAGGAGCCATGAGTCCAGGAGGAGTCCCACGTCACAGACCAGCTCCTTTGGCCACACAATTATCAGGGCCAATATTCTTAGATAACACAGATATTTACATACTAACTCCATCTTGGTACTTGTTTATCCCTACCTTGTCCATGATAGACTGCAGACACTAGTTCAAGATTTCTACAGCATCATACTAACTCCATCTTGGTACTTGTTTATCCCTACCTTGTCCATGATAGACTGCAGACACTAGTTCAAGATTTCTACAGCATCATCAGTTTGGACTGACCTGGTGATTTAAAATCAAATGTCATTTTCTGGCTCATTGGCAGCTGCCTCAATCACAAGTAATTGTTCCAAGCAAGATTTGCCTTCTTTAACAAGATTTATTGAGATGTAATGGATAGGATTAGAAGAATTTCAGTAACTGAACTATTTCCAAATTAGAATCCATTTATTCCAGAATACATTTGGACAGAGATTTTTTTTTCAGTTTCTTTCTAAAGGTGTTCCTATGAACTGGTGATATGGTCTGTGAATCAACCATTATAGTCAGCAGCAAATCGATTACACCTCACCGCGCAGTTTCCATATGTATATTAAATAATATAGGAAAGAAGACTGAGCCCTGCAGCACTCCACACTGCTGTTGCCAAGGTCTCTACTAATTATCCCCCGTGACTACTCCAAGAACTGCCCACTCTGGTAGAAATGGACACACCACAAAATGGTGCTTCCTACTCTCAATCCTTGCAGTTGGTCCAGAAGGATACTGTGGTAGATGGTATTAAAAATTGCTAAGAGATCTAATGAGATGAGGAGGAATGTATTCCTGCCATCCAAGTCCTGATGAAGGTCATCCACTAAAGTGACTAATTTTGTTTCTGTGCCATAACTAGGCCTGAATCCTGACTAAAGGGGATCTAGATGGTTCATTTACTCTAGAATCCTCTGTAGCAGAGTGCCTACCACTTTCTCAACAACTTTCCCCTCAAAGGGAGAGTTGCAGACAGGAAAGAAGTTGTCAGATATGGCCATATCAAGAGATGGATTCTTCAGGAGAGGGCACACCACCCCCTCTTTCTGAGGAGGTATAACCTCTCCCTCAGAGAACTAATCACCTCCTGAATCCAGCTGCATATACTCTGCCCAATTATATGAAGAAACCAGCTGGGATGTGGATCTAGCTATGCAGGTGGGAGAGCTCATGTATTTATTGGCTGCTTTGCCTGCAGTCACTTGGTAGCATTTGATCATTGTCGTAATAAGCACACAGAAAATAAGCCTGTAGGACTTTTTCCCCTTTATTTGATTCACAGCAATACCACATTTGTAATTTCTTTCATTTCTTCCATTATCATAGAGGTTAAGAATTATGAACCACCCTTTGGATCAAAGGTCCGGGAGCAACCTTGCATGGAAGTTATGAGAGACATTGTGCTATATGGTCGAGAACGACCAGAAATACCAAATAACTGGTTGGCACACCAGGTAAGTCATCAGTGTGATGTCTGTATGCTGATTATAATAAAATTATTAAAAGTGGTATGATAGCTTTGGGAAGTTCACCAGTAGAGTCTTTTCTTTTGTTGAATGTCCAACTTCTTGTAGCCAAGAGGATCAGTGGAATTATATACCCAATAAATAAATAAATTACTCTGAAACTATGTTACTCATAGTTGATTTCTGCAGAAAATCTAATTTAGCTATCAAAAAGATTTTTGCAGCTTTTTTGCTTTCCCTTCAAAATCAGTGACTATGTGGTGATCTCTCAGCTTAGATGACATCTTAACCACAAAGATCTAGGGACAGAGTCTAACTGTGCTCCCAAGTTAGAATTTCATCCTGGGTTGGTAGCCCTGACCTGTTAACCTAACAGCAGCCATTTCAGTGCCAGGAGAAACAAGCAGCGCATCACAGAACCCATTTCTATTTAATTTTTCTTTCAGGAATGATTTCTGTTAGCCAGTCATTACAGAACTTCGTATGTTTATCAGCTGGTCCTGCTTTGTTTTTTCTTCTTCCTTCTTGTTTCTCTTGTTCCTTTAGACTGAAAGTTTGTGCACAGGGAATGTTCTGTTGTTGTTGACTTTTTTGAGGAGGAGGGACCTATGGCCCAATATGTTGCTGAACTGTACCTTGCAGCTTTCTTGCACGGGCTAACCTCATACTTGTTTGTCATCTCCTTCATCTGACTCAATCTATTCCATTAAAAGACTGGATTATCAAAGGGCTTGTTGGAGGGGGACTTTGGATATACAGTGCAGAGACTAAGGGCTAGCTGAACCAGAGAGAAACGGAATACAACCTGTTTGCAAGTTTGTCCATCAAATAACCTTTCTTAACAATCGAGACAAATATTGAGCTGAATTAACTATATGATGAATACTCAGTCTAAGTACACGTAGCCCATTTAAATGCACAGGTGTGTGGAAGTAAACCACCATGGACTAAATGCTAGGATGGACTGAAATAATAATGCACCAAAAACCAGACAGTTTCAGTTTAGCCAATGAAATTCTTGGCGGCCTATCTTCCCACATAAATTTCCTAAATAATCTGTTTGAATAAAATAAAATATCTATCTGGAATTAACATTGGAATGCCTCTTCAAATATAAATCTGTTTGGAGTAATATTAATTTTAATATTAGTCTTAGCCCACCAACTTGATGGAATTTTAAACTGTCTGTTAATATCCATAGCAACCTTATCTATAGCATTAACCATATTACTTTCCACATATTTTGAAAGGTTTCTGCTATATATAATCCTAAATATTTAGTATATTCTGTACAGATGACAAAACCCAACCTCTTTTAGTGAATATATCAGATCTCAAAGAAAGTAAATTCATTTTTCCAATCAATTTATAACTTGAATATTAACAAACTGTTGAATCATCTGTATCAAGTTAGGCAATGAAATAATTATCCAATATTGCCAAAATGTCATCAGCATATAGAAATAATTTATACTCAGAATCTACCAATGCATCCAATAATAACATGAGATTACCTAACACAAACTGCTGATGGTTTGAGGATTAACTAAAAAAGCAACAGAGACAGTGGACAAACCAAACAGACGCCCTGCTGTAACTCTATTCTTCCAGAAATTAACTAATTTGTAATTACTCTTCCTTTGGTTACATATAGCAAATTGCAATCCATTTAATAAAATGTGACAATCCATATCTACTTTTTAAGCATCTGAAGATACTAATACAGCAGAATGCAATCTATCTTAAGATCCATAACATATATTATTGAAGGTAAATTATCCACTTGTCTATTTTTAATAAAACTGACTGGGATTCCTTGCATATATCAGTAAACCCGCTTTAATCAATTTTTTTTTCTCCTTTTCACATAGGCATAAGCAATAACGCACCCACTAATATAAACCTTATATGCATCCCATACAACCTGTAGACTAGTAGAATCTCATTGAATTCAAAGAATTGTGGTGTTTGTTGTTTAATATAAACAAACATTATCCCCTGTCAAAGAAGTATTAAAATACCACCAATCATGAACTGAGTGGACATCTTTGACATGAAATGTGAATGTAACCAAAGCATGATCTGAGATCACAATAAGGTTAATTCTCAAATCTAAAACATTACCAAGTAAAGAAGCAGAAATAAAAAAATAATCCAATTTAAAACAAGCTCTGTGGGCATAAGAAATAGATGTACACTCCCTTTTGGTGGGGCGATATAAACCCCAAGTATTCTTCAAGTTTAATTCTTGCATATAAGCTTGCATCACTTTCCAATTTTGATTATAAGTACATTTTTAGGAGGAATATTTTATATAATTTAAAATTCATAAGATTATAATCTCCGGCAACTATTACATGATCAAAAGACACAGTAAACAATTTTGTAAAGCATCTATGAAAGGTGGCTGTTGCCCAAGATCTCTTTTGACTCAAGGCCTCTGGTCCTCTGCAGGTTTGTGCCTAAAGTCTCTTCTTTATACCAAAACCAGTCATACATTTGGCTGCTCTACCATTGTGTGTGTGTGCCTTTGAGTCAGTGCTGACTCCTGGCAACTGCCTGGACCAGTCCCTGCAGTTTTCTTGGCAAGGTTTTTCGAAGTGGTTTACCCTTGCCTGCTTCCTAGGGCTGAAAGAGAGTGACTGGCCCAAGGTCATCCAGCTGGCTTTGTACCCAAGGCAGAGCTAGAACTCCCCATCTCCCACTCTCTAGCCTGGTGCCTTAATCACTACACCAAACTGGCTTGCTCCACCATTACTAGTATTTTATCCTGGGGTTCATATGGATTGGTTTATAAGCCATTTTGAGGATGTTTAGAGGTGGACTTAGGAATGTTTTAGACATGTGGGAAATGTTTGAACTTATTGTTGCTAGGGATTTCCAGAGGCAGCATGTGTTGTGTTACTGCAAGTGACCAATAACAATTACGCACATCTTAAATTGTGCTAAATTTTAAATCTTAAACATCTCACAACAGCAAGCCTTAATATAACATGAACAACCTAACAATAGTAATTGAGATACATTTGATCAATCCCATCAATGCCCTTTTTCTATTTAATTTCTCTCTGACCTCAGTACTTACAATTTACAGTATATTGTATGGTGATTATATGGACACATGCGGGTAGTATTCTTGGCACTAATACAGAAGTACAATTGTACCATTGCCTTCTTCCAGATTTATTTATTTATTTTTACTTCCCAGTCCAGTCTACAGCCGTAGGATTTCCTGGTAATTTCTTATCTAAGTCATCTTTCTCTAGGTCTGACCGTACCTTGCTCTTTCAAGAACAGCTAAGATTGGCTGGATGCTGCAATACCTTTTCCAGCCTTCCCCAGCTGAATGTCCTCCATGCTTCCTGTGGATGAAGGGAACTGTAGACCAATCCTGTTTGAGGGTGCCCAGTTGGGAAGGGCTGGCATTTCAGGTGCTGCAAGGCATACATGTTTTTGTAGGAGACTGAATCCAAGTAAAAACAAATTTTGCAAGAAGACATCTGGGATGAGATGGTAGAACCTAAACATTTAGAAGACTCTAAGAGGAGGAGATTCCATTTTTTGAACGCCCACTTCCTCAAATAATTTTTATAGCTATTTTTCTGTTTGTAGAGAACAAAAAGTTTAGGTTCACTGCCCTCTGTGCTCAGTGTTTTAAAACACGGGTAATCATTCAAAAATCCCAGTTACAGTTTAAGTTGATGGAATCCATTGTACACCTTTCATCTTCAATAGACAGCAATGAAACCAATACTGAGTGTCCTCTGAAATTACACTGTCAAGAAGTAGCCATTGGACTAAAAAATCCTGCCTTTATTAATGAAAGGCTAATTTACTCCACTGAATCAAAATGTGTAAAAGATTATGTACACCGTTAGGCCAAGTTATTACTGCATATTGCCCTTCTATGTACAGTACTGTGTGTTACCCTTAATTTGACTGTCAAATGAACAATACAGGGAATTTAGGACATTGCAAAGCAATACTTCAGTAAGTGTGCATATTCTTTTGTTTCAGCTTTTTATCTAAATCTAAAGTTATGCTAAATTATTTTAAAACATGTAATGATAAAGCTGCAAGCAGGCTCTGTTCTTTTTAACTATCATCTGGAATCTGTCATCCGTGGTACCTTAATCTACAATTAAAATATTACGCTCACAAAAATGGCAGCCAGAGATTTAGCTGATTCCTACTTATCTGTAATGTAGAACTTGGGTATAACCAGAGTGGGAAAAACAGAGTGTCTGTCCTGATAGCAGGATATGGGTAAGAAGTACTGGACATCACACTGGGAAGAAGGTAGAATATGCAGCTGTTTTCTTTGGCAGGAATTTAGGATAGTTTGAGCATGTGTTCAGCAAGCAAAATAAAGAAGTGCAGTTTGAAAAGGAAGAAAGTGGAAAACTCTCCTTGCTTACAATAACAGATTGAATTAAGAGACAGCTTTGCTACCATTCTCTGATTCTTATACGTAACTGCAGAAATAAAATAATCCATATCATTGCATCAGCTTCTTGGCTAGAATTTTTGTAAAAAAGTCCACCCTAAAATTAACTCTAAACTTAACCTTAGTACAAAGTCTAACTTTTTAAAGCTAGACTGCAAAATTCTGTGGACTACCACCTCTTATCTCGTTTTAATTTTTCTGTTCTTTCAAAACTATCTTCTCTTCTCATACTTTTTTTTCCAGTAGGGACTGGTGGAGTCCCTTCAGGGCAGCTAAAGATTTGAAAAGAAAATGAAACCCCCAAGTACCTATGAATTAAAGCTTGGATGCCCTTAAAGATTAGCCTTTCTGCTTGGAAGGAGCTCTTTGCCTGCTGAATTTTACATTTTTTGTTAATGCATAAAAGTGTCCCTTACTTCATTTCTGTCCAGTTTTGCTTCTACTTTTCTCTTCGCAGTGCAGCCCCTTTCCATCCCAGTTTCTCTCTTAATTCTATTACTTTTAGAGGGAGGAAGCAGAGAGTAGGTGAGAGCCTATTTTGTGTGTTACAAGGAGAATGGCTGATATATGCAAATGAGGATCAGTTAGTTTTGTAAGGTAGCTTATTCTTCAGAGGTAAGCAGTTTGGTGTAGGAGTTAAGGCACCAGGTTATAAACTTGGAGACTTCGAGTTCTAGTGTAGGTACAAAATCTTGCCAAGAAAACTGCAGGGACTTGTTCAGCCAGTCACTAGGAATCCACAATGACTTGAAGGCACAAAATAAATAAATAATGTATAGGTAATTAATTTGCTTAATATGTTTTTGTGTTCTGCCCTGTTTTCTTGTTAAAGTGTGGCTTTTGGTAAGTATACACATACACATATGCACAACACATATACAAGTGTGGTTATATAGACAGATGGGGACAATTTTGAAGTTCTGATTTCAGCTGGGGCTTCTTTGATGTCAGCCCTACAAGGTAGACCAGACTAAGAAATGAATGCCGTATAGGTCAGGACTACTTTTATTGTAGCAGCTATAGTAACAGAATCTTGCAAGTCTGAATGTGCTCTCCCAGCCTTTATCTTTGTGCGTTCTCAAGTTATTTTCTTGGCCTGGGTCAAGCCCCATTTATCTGACAGTTATCTTGGTAGCAGTCTTCTTCTCCTTCAAGGCCATTCCTTATTCCCTCTATATTCAGACAGCCACTTTCCACCTATCCTTGAACCCTATAGCACCCAGGAACCAAAGAATGTGCATTCCTGCAGGAAAAATGCTAGGTCAGTTGGACCTGAGCAGATCGCTCTCCCTGGATGTGTCATCTCCAGACTTGTCAATGAAGCACCCTAGATTGAATATCTGAGAAATCTTGCATTGGGAGAAAGAAAACATCACTTCCAAACCAGAAGAAACAAAGACTGCTTTAGGACACCTTAGCAAGGGGTTGGAGATTATGACGTGAGGACCTGTCCTTAAAAATTACTCAGGCCACATGTGCCACAGTAAGCAGGTCATGAGGAGGAGACCTGGAGCTAACAACTCTAGTTTTCAAGGTGGGATGATGGGCATTTAAAAGTTTGTCTGTATTTTTAGGTTGGTTGGTTGATTCAGGGGGTGGTGGTGGTGGTGGTAGGGAATATTCTTAAATTCAAGCAATCTTCCCTTCAAGAAAATATAGCACTTTCAACTAAATTATAGCTTTAATTGTAGGACTAAGATTGTAGGAACAGCTGAGTGTTAGAATTTTATCAAATAAAATAATCAAGTAATCAGAGTTATCAAAGTGGGGAATTTACACAAGAGAAGGGACTGGAGGGAGGTTGACAATGGACAAGATGTCTCTTCACAACAATTAAGCATGGATGCTACTGCATTTGCACTGATCCCTCATCCCACCATATTTATGGTGTGACTAAGTAAATCCTATCTGCCAACCTATCAGTTATGAAATCTAATTAATAGAATTTCTAAATATTCAAAATTTACCTGCATGAAATTTCCAGTAAAACAGAGTTAGATCTATGTATGGAATAGCAAGTATCTATTGCATATATAAATGTATCTCTGCTTTTTTGGGAGGGGGGGCCTTTAGAAACCTTATTTTTGTGCATTTAGAGAACAATCCATTTAAAAAGGAAGTTACACAATAGTTTCTTTCTTGTTCATTTCAGGGAATGCATTTTCTGTGTGACACCATCACAGAATGCTGGGATCATGACCCCGAAGCTAGACTTACAGCCCACTGTGTTGCAGAGCGATTCAACTTGATGGCACAAACAGATTGTGATGACATTCTCAACAACAACAGCATTGACAATGAAGCAAACAAAATGGGTTGCTCAAGAGATGAACATCAAAATAATGACAGGAACATCCAATGACTGGAGAAATAAAAACAGGACAGAACCACCAATAGGGCATGTCATCCAACAAATATATGCCCCATCATTTAGGCTCCTGAATGGATAAAAAATGTGTAAGACCCTTTTATACTAGACTATATTAAGGTTTTGTTCAACACAGGATATTAATCTTTTAATACTTTTTAAGAATGTACAGTGAAATGCAACATGAGTCCAAGAATGAGTCGCTCTGATTTCACATTAGTAGAATGGAAAGAGGTGAGGGTACTACATTGGTAAACTCTGCCGTGTGAACAAAGACCACTCATGCTAAAACAAACATTAATACACAAGGCATTTGTTTTTGCATTTAAAACATTTTTCTTCTTAAATATTAATTCTAAATGTGGA